ATTGAGCATTACAAACTAAATAAAGACATGTTAAAAATAAAGCATTATCCCTTTGCGTCGTGCCTGTAATATCAAAAAAAATACACACAAAAAATAAGCATATTTGTAATTGGCAATATTTGTAAATGAACTCCGATGAGCGATGCACATACCTCACTCTACAGATTTCCCTTGTTAGGACTATGGCTGCCGGGAAGGTGCTCACGCCTGCTAATCTAGCACGTGACTCCACCATCCTGGTAGAAATACTTTGAGTCTGGTTAGAGGATGTAAGACATAGCAAACTCTTATTCAGTTTCAAAGCAGTATCTTTTAGATTAGTTTAAACAAAGATGATAAATTATTAGGTTAGACATGAAATTGCCATTTTTGTAGGTCAAAAGTGCCAAATATGAGCAACTTTATATTGTTCAACCTAATAGATAACCTTTCTTCAGACAAACATGTGCTATTGATAAGAGGTGTCTCAGCAGACAAATGGAAACATATGAATATTTCACATCTGAGAATTGTGATTGTTGCCAGGCATGGTGGCTCATGCCCATAATCCTAGCACTTTGGAGGCAGAGGTGGGATAATTGCTTGAAGCAAGGAGTTTGAGATCAACCTGGGCAACACATCGAGACCCCATCTCTACAAAAAATAAAGAAAAATGAGCTGGGGATGGTGGCATGCATCAGTAGGCCTAGCTACTCGGGAGGCTGAGGCAGGAAGATCACTTGAGGCCAGGGATTCGAGGTCCCAGTAAACTATGATCAGACCACTGCACTCCTGCCTCGGCCTCCCAAAGAGTTGGGATTATAGGTGTGAGCCACTGCACCCGGCCATAACATGGTTTTAAAGAATATTGGAGGCAATATTATAAAATAGGTTCATATTTTTAGAGGATAATGTAATGCATAACCATTAAAATCATGTCATAGGATTTTCAGCTGAGGTTTTTGCTTATTTTTCTTACTTATAACACAGTACAATAATACCTCTAAGAGTCTAAATGTTAGACGAGTACGAGTTTAGAAAAGACACGGGGGCAACGTTTCATAGTGGGGGAGGCACTGGTCTTCAAGGGTCTCTCATGGTGTAAACACTGGGCCATCACACTGTTTGGTTTTACCAGCTCTTCTCTGTAATGTCATGTAATTATAATGCATTTTAGGAAGGTTGCACATCTGCTATTGGCCAGGCACAGTATGAGGTATTTTATACATGTTCTCATATTTATTCTGCATACTGTGTAATTCTGTGAGGTGGGCATGACCATGCCCATTCTATGAGGAGAAGGAGAGCCCAGTAACATTGAGAAACTTCCCAAGTACACTCAGCTGGTAGGCAGGAGTTTAAAACGCCCTTCCATCCTGTCTTTAGTTTAGTTTAGATCAAATGGCAGCTTTTTATTCACTTTGTTGCTTTAAGATTCTAAAATTATCTGGATTAGAGCAATAAACTTAGTAATAATAAATCTGCAAATATATAATGGGTGGTGTGCTCTATGAACCCAGTTCTTTCCCTAAACTGAGGGATTCAAAATTCTTTAACTTTTCTTTGTTTTTAGTTAGCATTTTTTGGGACCAAATTCTAAAAGCAGAACTGGTCTCCCTTCATCAGCACATGTTTTTTGAGCATCTTTGTGAAGATGAAGAGCCCACTGGGCTCGTGGAGAGGTTGTGGTACAGAGGGAGAGAGAGAGATGAGATAAGTGTAGAGACTCGTAAAGGCGCAGGGAAGCCTAGAGCAGGGCGATGAATCCTGGGGAAGTGGACATTTGAGCTTGTAGAGAAGGTGGAAAGAGTAGACATCTGTGAAGCTTCAAAGAGAGAGAAGGGTTTGTGTAGAGACAGAGAGCATGGAAGAGAGCCTCGTGTTTCTGAGGATTTGGGAAAAACTTGGTGTTATTGGAGCATGTGGACAATGATGGATTGGAGATTAGGAAGCTTGCTGTGAGTTCTAAGCAGTTAGGATATTATTTTTGGTTCCCACTTAAATTCTCCAGGAATCAGTGTTTTGTCCATTTATCTGTCAATCCATCATCCATCCATCCATCCATCCATCCATCCAGTATATATGAGGACTTACGATACTGTGATGAATACAAGAAAGATCAACATGTGACCTCTACTTTTGGAGATTCTTGTTGTGGTGACATGAATAATATGATAAAAGTTAAATGATAGAAAGGTGACAAGGCCGGGCGTGGTGGCTCAGGCCTATAATCCTAGCACTCTGGGAGGCTGAGGCAGGCGGATTGCTCGAGGTCAGGAGTTCGAAACCAGCCTGAGCAAGAGCAAGACCCCCGTCTCTACTATAAATAGAAAGAAATTAATTGGCCAACTAATGTATATATAGAAAAAATTAGCCGGGCATGGTAGTGCATGCCTGTAGTCCCAGCTACTCGGGAGGCTGAGGCAGGAGGATTGCTTGAGCCCAGGAGTTTGAGGTTGCTGTGAGCTAGGCTGACGCCACAGCACTCACTCTAGCCTGGGCAACAAAGCAAGACTCTGTCTCAAAAAAAAAAAAAGTGACAGAAAAGCAGCAGTCAGTGCAACAGCAGAGGAATTGTAAGGTGCTCAGGCTGCCTTGGTGAGAGAGAGGGTTTATCGTAAGGATGAGCACCCATACTTTGGGGGCCAGCTGTTCCCTCTGTCTTTCATGGTCTGCTCCATTCTCTTCTCACTCTTCTACCAACCTTCATGGTGTTCTCCAGTCGCAGTCTGAACGGGCTTTACTAAGTAGCCATCACGCTCAGAGCCCTGCAAGCAAGCCTCCTCCCAGGTGGCTGGCAGCCTGCAGATGGGCTGCGCTTGGGCCAGCGTGGACATTGTTGGTCCATTCACAAGTCACTGCTGGACAAGGGCAGGTTTAGCTGGGTGACAGGTGCCAAGAGATTAATTTGTTCGGTGAATAGTGAACAGAAGAAGTGCCGGAAGGGAAAGAGGGATAGAAGAGTAGAGAAAGACTTAGGGAATATGCAAAATTGTACTTTGAAAGATTTATAGAATTTCTTATGTAGTGGTTTGTGGACTTGGCCTGCCATGTTGCTTTGACAGAAAAAAAGATAATGCTTGTAGGGAAGTTTAGGTGCTTAGAAAATTCAAAACATTCACAAGATCTGGCTCTTGCCCACTCCTTTAGCCTTGTTAAATGCGACCCTTGCCCTTGAACTCTATGCTTAGACATAGTCTACCCTCTAAGTTTCTTAAACTCACCAGTCTGTCTCATCCCAGAGCCTTTTCACATGCTGTTCCCACTGCCTGGAGTGCCATTTCCCCTTTTGGTGTTCCAGCTACTTGCTTTCCACCTGCAGGGATTCTCTAAAATGACCTGGCCCCTCCAGACGTTTCCATAGCACTGTGTGCTTCCCGTGGTTCTTTCATGTCACTTTGAATTGGTGGCCCTTGCAAAGGTAGTGACCTTTCCGTCTTGTTCACCCCTTTCTTCCTGGGACCTAGTGCAGTCTTTTGCACATAGGGAGAAGTCGGTATCTATAATATTAATGTTAAAATGAATGTATGAAAGCTATATAATAATCATTTGTCTTGAGATAAATATAATTTCCCATTTTCTACATTCTATAAAGCATATTTATCTTTTTGAAGACAAGCATACTGATCAGGTACTTATTGTTGGTGATATGTTATAATAATTTAAACAACTAAGAAAAAAATTACCGGCTTTATTAAAAAGTGCCTTGAGGGGACCACCAGGGGGCGGTATAATCAAGGCAATGTTAGGAGACATGCCCTTAGCTGCGGCCTTGGTCTCTGGTTTTTGTTTTTCCTTGACTCTGGCATTAAACGACTGTATATTGCTTATTATTAAACACCTTCTTTTTTAGCAGTGAAGGATAACTATGGAGGAAATATATTTAGTATTTAAATAGTCTACCATTAGGTAGCAGAGTTGAGCAGCAGAAGTGTGCGAGGCCCATAAGTAGTCTACCGTCATAGACCATATGTTTTTTTTTCTGAGGCAGTGACTATTCCTGGTAAAAATATTTATTTTCAGGAGAATGTTTTGAAGTCCCATTTCT